AACCGCCGGTAATTTGACCGGCGGTTTTCCGGCGGTTACAATACCGGCGGCCTAACCGCCGGAAGACCGACGGTTAAAATTCCGATGGTCACCGGCGGTATTGGCCGCCGGCAAACCGCCGCAAAAATAAACCGCCGGTAAAAAGCCGTCGGAATTGGTTTCCTACGCCGTTTTTACCGGCGGTTAACAAACCGCTGTTAGACCGCCGGTAACGTAAAAAACCGCCGGTAATTCTACACTAACCGCCGGAAAAAACCGCCGGTTATCAGCGTTTTTCCTGTAGTGTATCTTTTGCAGGTAGGATACAGTATTTGAAATTTACTATTGCCAACTCTATAGCTTACTGGATTAGTGGTGCGATTCTACCTAAAGGCTGCTGTAAATAGATTGACAAATTATGCTCTAAGTTCCTCTACCACGGCTCCTCGACTGAGAAAAAACTTCATCTCATTGCCTGGCATAAAACCTGTATTCCTACTTGTTTTGGGGTGTTAGGCATTACGGACATACAGTCTCTTAGTTTTGCTCATGGTTGCAACCTCATCTGGAGATTTTATAATAACCATTCTCTGCTCTTCTCTTGGCTCAGATGCAAATATATTTCACCTTATAAACCACCTCACCCTACTGCTTCCAAATTCTTGAAGTGCATATGCTCTATTGCTAACCGTATAAAGAATTTGATCCGCTTTCACATGATCAAAGTCAGCTGCACTCTTTCTATGTTCTGGGACCCGTGGTTAAATGGTCTCTTGCTAGCTTGACTTCTCAAATTCCCGCTGGTTTCATGAGTGTTAAAGATTTTATTTCTGATGGGATTTGACATTTTAATGAGGCTATTTAACCTTAGGTTGCCCAGGCTATTTCGGTTATTCCTATATCTGATGGCACCTGTAGCATTTCCTGGATGGGTGAGAGTGTGCCTTGCTTCAAAACTCTTAAAATGTCTTACTTTTCTAATCTTGCTAAAGTCAGCTGGTACAATTTCATTTGGCATACGAGAGCCGCCCTTCGGTATTCGGGTTTTGCTTGGTTAGCTATTATGGGAGGGATAAAAACTGTGGAGGAGCTTGCGAGTAGAAACATTTTTATCCCCCCCCCCCCACATTCCCTCTATGCTTTACTGAAGATGAAAGTACAAACCATCTTTTCTTTCAATGTAATTTTTCGTTCCAGATTTTACAATTGCTTTTGCCGAGTACTTAGGTATTCCTTTTAAGGCCTAATTTGATGCAGCTCCTTGAATTTTTTGATGGAGATCAAAAGTTTAATTCTCAAGGGAAGAATTTATGCTATTTTGTTATTTGTTGTTTGCTTTATTTTATCTGGCGAGAACAAAATGATAGGAAATTTTCGAGGAAACAATGCTCTAGCTCCTTTTGCCATCTATCACCGGATCACTTCTGCCATTTTGTCAAAGGCCAGAAGCTGGAAGAATTTTGATACCCTATGAAGCAACTTTCCTCACTGCTTCTCTCGCCAATTCAACTACCGGGATGGTTTCGGGAATGTCTCTGGGCAATGATGAGGCTGACTGGGATGTTGCTTATAACCCTGGATGGCCTCATTAATTATATGCTTTCCTTAATTCCAGCACTTGGCCTAGCTTTTTTGCACCATGATGGACTCTCTTGTGGATTACTGATGGCAACCGGGTTCCGTTTTTGAAAGACTTTGTGTGGCTTGGGTGATCTGTATTCCTTCTCCCAGTTCGTAATTTCTGAGCCTTATTCGAGATAATTTTGTTTTTTGCTCCGGTCTTGTATTTTTTGATTTTCAGCTCATATTTTACTTGTAAATCTATTGAGTTGGATAGGTTCTTCTTGTATTTTGCTTCTTGATCAATATACGGGCTAAGCCCCAAAATTTTCCAAAAAAAAAAACTCTCTGGTTTGACTTTTTATTTTCTATTAGATTAATAACAATATTAGCAATAACTCATTACTAATAATATTATTATTAATCTAAAGTGATAATAGCGTGTCAATCTTTTCAAAAATCATGTGCAAATTCTTCTGTGCATTATGTCTCATTTTGCATGTCGGCTGTCTTGAAATTTGTCACACTAATCTAGATGATCCAAATTGAACATAAAAAATGTGAGTATTCATGATATTCCAATCGCAATGGCGAAATCCGTTTCACGAACGGACATTATTTGGACAGCGACGAGGCAAATTTTCCTAGAAATTTGATCTATTGCCTTGGTATTCGTTTCACCAATATGAATGCTTCAAATTGAATAAACAAAATTTAGTTTTCAAAGGTTGACAATGTTCCGGACGCAACAATCTGTTTCTCGATCCGACATCGTTTGATCAGCCTCGCGCTTTAATTTTGGGTGGCAGTCTTCTCTTTTGATTGATCTCATCCGATTCAATTGCCAGAGGCCTCGACCCAATAGAATTCAGTGTCCTGATCGCAATGATACCGCCCGTTTGACATTTAGAGGTCATTTGACCCCTTAAGTGATGCGTTTTGTCAATGCACGCATTGCCTAAATCATCATTTTCGCCTCTTTTTGCATGGCTTTATGTGTAGGGGTCAACACGGACAGGCTTATCTTATTCAAGGTATGCTTAATGTCTGCTTCTGGTTGCAGGGTCAATCTCCTCTGTAGCCTTGTTGTTTCTTGGTTATCTTCTTCGTGCCATGTCTCTCTAGTATTTATTGCTGATAATGTTATTTTGCATTATTTTTGTCGTGTTGGGTGGTTGGTTTTGATGGCTGGAGCCCATTATGAATTCTCTTCTAATTATTTTTTGCCCACTTGTGGAAAGTTGTTCATACTTTAATTCTTGGTTATACTACATGTTGCTTTGGTTAAGTTGGTTTCGTGAGAACCTATTTTATCCCGTCAGGCATGTTGTTAATTGGTCTAAGCGTTGTGTTTGGTCTTTCTACTTATTTGAAGAGGTGCTGCCACTTCTGCTCCTGCAGTTAGGTTTGGTTTGTGTTTTGGCTGGGGTTTTTGTAGTTAAGTTTCATAGCTGCTCAACTTCTACGATCAGCAGTCCTTTGTAGAAAGTTTTTGGAGGCTTTCCTCTTTTGGTGCATGCTGATTTTTTTGGTGTAATGATGGAGCTGAAGGGATATATCTGGATCTTTACTTTTTGGGTGCTGACGATTTCTCTCAGCCCGTATAGTTTTTTATGCTTTGATTGTAATCGTAGAAAAAGGATCTACCGGCTCTTAGGTTTTTTTTTTCCTTTTGAATCTTGTAGCTCTTTGGAGCAGTAGCGAGCTGGTGGAACCTTCTAAGGACTTTGTAACCGATTTTGTTATTAACGCGTAGGCCCCTTCTAGTGGGTTTTAACTAAAAAAAAAAAAAAAATGATACACAAATGTGTGTTCAAGCTAATGAATGAACATCGGCAATACCTTACAGAGATTTTTAAAATAAAAATTCTGAAATAATTAATATTTCATTTGGGACAGTTTTTTTACTGCTTAAAACAGTTTTCTAATAAAAAAACCATCACAAACAAAGCAAAGCCGGACATTAAGCATCAAAAAGCTTGAAAATAATTTATTCAGATGGATCAGTTCTGATTGACAAGGAAGACGTAGATGAATGTATGCTGAGTATCCGATAATTGGAATCTGATTCAAAGACGTTTGATGGCTCCTCGGTTAACTGAACTCTTTCCATGGCTTTTGTAGTCTGTTACAGAAAAAAAAAATGTAAATTCTAATGAACAAAAGGTGGCAATGATGAACCTCATTGGCTCTTCTTATGTTGTTTATCAAATCAAATTAGCTGGGCTGAACGTAACGAATGCTAGAAAGTGTTAAAATAAAATGAAATCCTGTCATTTTCTACTTGGAAGCAAACAAAAAAGGAGAGTTTTCAGGTGAAAGCTTACTTGTTTCTCCCAGTCTGTAAGGATTGTCATGATTAGAAGGACTAAGTCTTGGACAAAAATCGCACAGATGTTTCCAATCCAAAGACCCTATATTTTAACAAAACTAATTTGTCAATTACTTTTTTTATTGCTTAATTATCTTTGTTTTTATTGCAAACAAAGGGTCAATAAATATGAACTAACCTTTACTCCCATATGGCAAACAAAACCAAGAAGTATGGATGATGGAATTCCAACAAGATAGTAAGAGCCAAGACAAACAAAAGCTCCAAGCTTTTGGCGACCACATCCTCTTATTGTGCCTGAATTCATCCAAAGTAATTTAGAATTTTCACAAGGCATTGAAGAAATAAAAATTTAATAAGAACAAAGGAAGAAATTAGTCCTTGTTTGAGGGCTTAAATACGTACCTAAAAGCACACATTGGAAACCATCTATGCAATGGGATAGAGCAATCCATGGAATCATTACAGCCACAGCCTTCACAACTTCTATCTCTTTGGTGTATGCATGACCCCATAAGCTCCGTCCACCGATCATCACTAATCCTACTATCAAACCTTCACTAATGATGGTTAATGTTGCAACTAGTATTGCTAGAAGAGCAGCCCTTGGATTTTTTGCACCCAATTCGTTGGATATTCTAGTACTGAAAAAATTAAGGAACTTTAAAATGAGTCTTCGTTTGTTGCTTTAGATTTAGATAACGAAATAAAATCATTTCGGCTAACCTGATTGCACCACTAAGGCCCAAGGGGATCGCATAAACCAGTGAAGAAATGTTTTGGCTGTGGAAATGGAAGAAATTAATCATATATAAAACTAAATTAACTTATATAAATAAGATTACGTACGAAATAGAATTTAAGAAAAAAATACCTTATAGACATTAATGATGTTTGGAGCGCTGGATTTGTAAGAAGTCCAGCAAGTATCAACAACAGCTCGAATTGCCAGTTTTGAAAGCTACAAATATATCTCATGTAAGAAGCATGTATAAGGATTGAGCACCAATGATATTCAAAGAAGTACTGCATTAGATACTAACCAAACCATCAAAGTAGAAGGAATGCCGAGTTTAAGAAACTCCCATAAGCCATGAAAAGCTTCTCTAGAGAATCCAGTCCATGTTGACTTGCAAGAGGGAGACAGAAAGACATATAGTACTAATAGCAGCAAATTGAACCAATAAGAGATTGAAACCGAAAGCGCAGCTCCTCGATAACCAAGTCCAGTTTTATAGGTAAAGAACCAACAATTGAATATGTGAAAAATAGCTGTGATTGCACTGCTAATCATTATGGGTACCACTATTTTTTGAGCTTGTAAGAACCTGAGGATGCACTGTATAAGGCCAAATGCGAATAGTGATGGAATCATCAACCGAGCATAAGATTCTGCAGCCATTGATATCTCTGGGACTTGGCGGAGCAAGATAAGAATTCTTCCAGAGAAAGCCGTGCCAAAGGCAAGTGGAATGCTGATAATGACACAAATGACCATTGCTCTTTGTAGATATAAACCTACCGTCTTGTAATTTTTTGCTCCAAAAGATTGTCCACATAAGGTATCTAGTGCAGAACTTACTCCCATCTGCTTAATCATTGGACAAGAGAATGAAGAAACATAAATGATCGATTTTAATCCATAAAAATTTTGGTGCATTACGTACTGATCTTACATCAGTAACTCAAAGAAGGAAAATAAATAAAGGAGAAGTACATACGAGCACTGAGAAGCCAAGTGAATTGACGAAGGAAATGGCTATGGAAGCTCCGGCGAGTTTCTGGTGACTTATATGGCCAACTACCATTATCGATACAAATTGGAGGGCGAACATAAGGAAATTCGCAACTGTAAGTGGCATTGCAAGGCACATCTGCCTTTTTATCTCCTTCGTCATTCCCACCATTTTCTCCATTGATGTCTTCTGTATTTCTATATCCATTTCAGTACCTCCTTCATTATCTCACTCTTCCCGCCTTTATATAACTTTGGAATTCTAAGCTGGTAATATGATGACAAGCTATAAGACAAGGAGGTGAGTTCCTTTTTACTACTCGTCTTTTTATAGTTATTTTCAAGAGAAGTTTATTATTATTATTATTATTATTATTATATTTTATTTTATTTTAAAAACTCAGAGTGGGCCTATGCGTTGATTGGAAGAGAAATTACAAGTCCTTGATAGCAAGCTAAGCTCCAAAGAAGTACAATAAAAAAAAAGCAAAATTCCTAGAAGCAAAGGATCCCCAAGCTAGTTACAAAAGAAGAAAAAACCAATCATCAACAAGCTTTCAAACCGAACTACCCCTGCTATCTAAAAATGTAAATTATAACCATCATGTGATAGATACACAACCTTTCTAAGAACTATGATACTCAAAGTTCGTCTTCCGAGCACGTTATATTTGTTAAGTAGAATGAAGTTGAACTCTTAAATGTCAAGTCATATTTTGATATAATGCTTGTAGCAAAAAAAAGCTCTAAAGTTAACAAACCAAGCATTCAACAAGCTACTAATGGCTTGGCTTTATTATAGCTCGTTCGTGATTGTTTGATTAAGTAATCAAACAAACTTCTATATCTTTTTAAAATACTCAATGATTAAATAAATATTTGATGTTGTTGTTCTTGTACTCAATGATTAAATAAACTAAGATGAACTACTATATGTCAACTCATTTCTGTCATGAACAACAACATTTAAAGCTCATAAATAAGCTAGATCACTACAGGAATGTATTACCGGCGGCTTGACAGCCGGCAAACTGCCGTGGATAATTGCGGTAATCAGCGGCGGTTCCAACCGCCGGAAAACTGCCGCCTAGATAAACCGCCGGTAAAAGGCCGCCGGTAAAGGTTTCCTACGCGATTTTTTCCGGCGGCGTAAGGACCGACGCTAAGCCGCCGGTAATACTATAAACCGCCGATATTATTACCCAAACCGCCGGAAATAACCGCCGCATTTGGCTGTTTTTCCTGTAGTGGATATGAAGCTCGATAACAAGCTCTTTAAAAAGCTCAAATCATGTTTGACACATAAATGATGAACAAGCTTATTTATAAGTACTAGTTCTAGGTTTGCAAATTTAAATTGTTGAGAATAGCATGATCAACATGACCTCCATTCTTTTCAATAAAATTTTCAGTCCATGTTAATAATTCTAAAAATATCTTTACTAATCTCATAACATCTAAGTTAAAAAAATAATCAATCTTCACTTGAGTTCTAAGAGTTACATAAAATAACCTACAACAACAACAACAACAACATCAAGCCTTTTATCCCACTACGTGGGGTCGGCTACATTAATCCTTTTTCTCCATTGTGTCATATTAAAAGTCAAATTCTCGCTTAAATCTAATAAAAAAAGGTCATTTCTAATATTTTATAACTAAGTATTTTTAGGTCTACCCCGACCTTTCTTAACATAATTCAAATCTAATATCTCTACTCTCCTAACAGGCCGGTCATCGGAAGGCCGCCATTTTATGTGACCAAACCATCTAAGGCGACTCTCTCTAATCTTATCTTCTACTGGAGCTACATAAAATAACCTAATAATTAAAAATATATAAAATTATTAAAACATTATAATCTAAGAAATAACATTTTGAAAAATGGAAAAAATATATTTATATTCACAGTCAAATGTAATGTGTGAATTCTAATTCAACTTACTATGATCCATTAAAAAATTCTCAATATTTTAAAATCAAATTACAAAAATAATATTCAAATCCCCAAATCACAATCATGAAATTGTCACAATTTGATCTCCAAAGCCCACCTTTCTATCGCCTTTTGATGACCAAATCCTCAAAATTATACAGTACTGATCAAAATTTCGCATAATATTATATAAGAGGAAATAGCCTCTTTCCTTCATTGGCAACAATTAATTATCAAATTAACAAGATTATGGGAACTATCATTAAGCTCACAAAATTATTTTTCAACTGCATGATTAGATTCAATCAAAGCCTTTATTGAAATATTCTTCAAAATGTAAGCATAAATTCTCACTTCGCAATTATTATATTGTTTTAGCAAAAGCCAATTTCTGAATTTACACAACTCCTGCATTTCCTGGAAACCAATGACATCAAATTCACATTAACTATTTTAAAATTTCACCAAATAAAATTAAAATTTGTGTCAATGAAGAAAATTAAAATTTTAGATATTCATGATATTATTTTTTTTGCAAGAATATAGAGGCATTAAAATAAACCTAGTAAAAAGTTGCAAGACGCAAGGAGCCAGGCTCAAAAAATTAAGATGAAAACCATCCGTAGAGCCAAAACTTGATATATGAGAAGAACGTTCACGATGAAGACTAAGGCTTTGTTTGGGACAGCTTTCTTCTTGCTTCTTAAAGTAGTTTTTTAGCATAAAAATTAAAATTTTTGTACTATAAAGTTGCTTTCAGAAGTAGTAAGAAAGTCGTCCCAAACAAAACCTAAACATCCTAAAAAAACAAATACCCAAAGGAAGTAACCAGAATAAAAGAGCAAGTACAAAGAACTTTTATTTCGTCCGGTGTAAGGATGCAGAGGAACATCTGGTTGTAGGCAAAATCGCGCCTATACTGAGGTGTACCGAGTTTTTTCATAAAACTCGGTACACCTCGGTATAGGCGCGATTTTGCCTACAACCGGATGTTCCTCTGCATCCGGTCGGAGGACGTAATAATTGTTTGAGTACAATGGAGTAAACCTACTAGTCACCAATATTTCAAAAATTGGATCCAATGTTGCATTCGAAGGGACCAAATTCTACAGAAGAAAGAGCTAAACAAACTAATAAGTAAATCATCCAATAAATTGATGAACTCCAAATACAATGACCAGCGAAACTAACACCAGGATCATCAAAGAAAACATGCAGGAGAAGCCTATAACTGGAAGAAACGGGAAACACCCACAATACGAAGCCATAACACAAGGAGAGAGAGAGCCAACACGGGAAAGCACTACAGAAAATTCAGCTGTTTGCAGTGGAGAAATTCGCCGCAAAATAAATGAAATCCGTCGCATGTCTTGGTTTGATTCCTCCGTTGAAACATGCGTTGCAAAATTATTTGCAATGGAACACATTCGTCGCAAATATTTGCGGTGCATTTGCAGCAGATGTGCGATGGAAAATCCAGGGCAAATTGCAGCGGAAAATCCTTCGTTTGCGGCAGAAAATCCGCCATACATTTTGACAAAAAATCAGTTGTAAATTCGCTGCCATTTGTGACCCGTCACAAACAACGATACAAGATTGTCATATCAATGTTCGCGATTGAAATTTTACCAGAAATCTGTTGGAAAGTTGTTGCATAAATAAAAAAATAGCTCATGCTATATGCTATTGAGCTTTCCACGAATACAAACAGTTTAAAAACAATAATTAAATATAGTAATAAAAGCAATAATAATAGAACAGTAACAATCTAATTGCTCAAATAAATAATCACATTTCATAAAATTTTACAATTGTTATAACACTATAAAATTTTACAATTGTTATAACACTGTTAAAGTTTCAATAACTCTTGTACATCAAAAGAAATAAAATGCATCAAAAATATTTTTACAAATCCTCTAGGTGGAATTTCAATCCTCGCTCTCCCACTTGAACGATGATGGCGCATCAAGTATCTAAATGTTCATGTCCTCCTATCTTTTTTAGATATTTTCTAACTCCGTTGTCAAATTAGCCACCTAGTTACTATATAAGCTCTCACGGATGCCTATGGAGTAGTTAGTAGCAGAAGAGGACTATTCCTTATACGCGTAGGACTGCGAGCCTAATTCATAAATTTGTCCATTCTGCATTTTTCTTAACGCCTACAACCAAATACGTTAGTTAGAAATATTTGTGATACCCTTAGAGGATCCCTCTCCAGCTGGAATCCCATTCTCTCAAACTGTGTATACTTATCCTACAAAACATAACATAAGATTACTCATCGTATAGTTGCCAGTTACAATGTTTCTACAAGAATAATATCCTTATATGCTTACATATGCCCTCCTCGCTCCCTAATCTAACCACTACTTGTAATAGCCCGTAGTTTGACTCAGATAAATAATTTTTTCCTGGTTTAAATAAAACTCCAAATCACAAACCGTTTTAACCATAACATTGTTATTATAATATTTTATTTGCACCAATTTTTTCATAATTTTGGATATCGATGAAAATCCTTAAGAAATTGGTACTTGATTGTACAAGTGGGGATTTTGGGACCATCATATGTTTGTTTTACAATCTGATTTCACTGATCTTTTTTAAATAAAATATTTTTCTATACTTTTGAAGTCTCAAAATAATTTATTTGAATTTTATACTAAGGAATTGATTAAATTAAATAGTTTTATTAATATTATATTATCATTTTAATTATAAATATCTAAAAGCATTATATAAGTTTATTATGCCTTTTTTATTCTCAAATTTGTTTAGCAGAGAAATTAAATTGAGATATTAAGAGAGAAAGTGAGGAGAGAGAAAAAGAAACTTAAAATTTAGAGGTCTCAGAGTTATTTTTGTCAGTCTGCTTAGCTAGAAAATTTGCTCGTCTCACTGTAAGGAACCTTTAACTTATTTCTAATCTCAAAATTTTTGTATTCTTGATATTTTTCTGATCAAATTTATATTTTTATTATCGAAAAATAAGAATAATTTTGTATTAGTACAATTTTCACCTCGTAACTTCTTATATGTTATAGAGATTGAAATTATGAATATTTTGAGTATTTATTTGTTATTTTTTACGAGATGATTTTGAAAATTTAACAATTTTTGCCTAGTTAAAAATTTATTTTAACATATAAAAATAGTGATTTAGTTTAGCTAAAGCTTCAGAATCTATTTATATAATATTAGGTAAATATATTGGTTAAATTCTAAAAATATTAATTTATGCTCAATATGATTTTTATTATTTATCG